ACTTCCCAAACAGAAAGTATCTATTGTAAAATCACGAGCTTTAGGCTTTAGATTGTTAGGCTTTTAAGGGATTTCTGTCTACATTATATTGAACTACATATATATAGTTCAAGTTGTATAAAAATCATGTATTTCTGTACTAGATATATACCAATTTAAAAGTTTTTTTTATACACTAAAACTTACCAAACAGAAAATATCTATTGTAAAATCACGAGCTTTAGACTTTTAGTTTAGAAAATATAATCACTGCTGGGCACAATGACTCACGCCTGCAATCCCAGCACTTTGGGAGTCTGAGGCAGGCAGATCACCTGAGGTCAGGAGTTCGAGACCAGCCTGACCAACATGGAGAAACCCCGTCTCTACTAAAAATACAAAATTAGCAGGGTGTGGTGCCACATGTCTGTAATCCCAGCTACTCAGGAAGGCTGAGGCAGGAGAATCGCATGAACCTGGGAGGTGGAGGTTGCGGTGAGCCAAGATCGGGCCACTACACTCCAGCCTGGGCAAGAAGAGCAAAACTTGGTTCCAAAAAAAAAAAGAAAAGAAAATATAGTCATTTTAGTTAGAAGATAGGGGAAATGCAGAAAAAAAAGTGAAGTTGCAGGAAAAAAAACACTGTACAAGTACTTCTAGTGGTTGTGTGATCTTCAACAGGTCACGTAACCTCTCTCTCAGCTTCAGTATTCCAGTGACTTTTTTTTTTGAGGTCCAGAGTCACATTTGTCCCCCAGGCTGGAGTGCAGTGCAACCTCCACCTCCTGGGTTCAAGCGATTCTCCTGCCTCAGCCTCAGGAGTAGCAGGGATTACAGGCGCATACTACCACGCCCGGCTAATTTTTGTATTTTTTAGTAGTGATGGGGTTTCACCATGATGCCAAGCTGGTTTCGAACTCCTGACCTCAAGTGCTCCACCTGCCTCAGCCTCCCTAAGTACAGGGATTACAGGTGTCAGCCACCGTGCCCAGCCTGAAAACTTTCTAACACATCTTTAACAAAGTCATGCTATTAATATCATGTGAATGTGAGTAATAAATAAAAGTTTACATGAAAATGCTTCATAAATTATAAAGAATTATCTAACATAATTAACTTGGGGGGGGAGTTTGAACCTTTTAAATTAAAAGGAACAGATTAAAATTAGTTTAAAAAAACAAAAACTTATGTTCTTGTAGAAAAAATCCTGAATCAGGAAGACCAGAGGGACATGATCACATTTTAAATTTAAAAATAAAAACTGAAATAGGGTAATGTAAGCCAGGAATTAAAAGGAAAAGGCAGAAAGAGGCTAGCACTGTGCCCCAAAGGAACTCTGAGACCTAGCAGTAAGAGAGAAAAACCACAAAGGAAGACAGAAAAAGAAAGTGATAAAGCAGACCGCAATACCTGGAGGGAAGGCAGGGGTTTGGAGAGGAAGAAAAGGGGGAGGGGTAATTATTAAAGGATTGGTTTCCCAGAACCAAGGTTAAATTTCCAGGAATCCCAACTCTACTCCTCACTATGGTAGACCCTGGGCTAGATGCTTTGCCTCTTTGGGTCTCAGTTTTCCTCATTTGTAAAATGTGACTAATACTCAATAGAGCTATGAATTTTTAAAATAGACAATCTGTTTCTAGCAGTCTTTTTGATATGTTGTGTCTTTGAAGATAATTTCAAGATCCCACCAACCCCTCCTCTCTGAAGGCACAAGCATACCTCTTCAACTGTTAGCTCTGAAGAAATATTGGTGGGACTAAACTCTGGTTATGCGAGCAGTCAGGATACACCACTGCTTGAATAACACCAATGGTCAAGCTGGAATGGGCTTTAGGAACCACTACTCTAACCCTCTTTTCTGTAAACAAGGCACTCTATCTAGCACAGCAAGATTAAAAGTTCTGCCCAAGGATGCAGTGAATTCCCAGAACTAGAACCAAATCAAGGAACCTGCGTCATAACTAGAAAGAAGGTCACAGACTGAGCACCTTGGGAGCAGCTCAGCGCTGGTTAAAACATAACCCTAGGGAAGCTGAAATCTGAGTGACAGTCTTAATGGCTTAAAAATTATCACAGGAGTAAAACATTTAACACCAAACTATGAGCATGAAAAGAACAGAATGCACTGAAATATTCAGAATACACATAAGTATTTATCTATTTCCAATACTTAACAGTGTGAAGTCCACAGCACGTCATTAATTCTGGTTAATAACAACTATATTAGAAACTGAGAAACAGTATGACACGGAGGTTAAGGTCTCCGAGAGCTCCACAGTCCGTCAGACAGGGTTAGAATTCCGGCTCAAACACAGATCAGCAATGTGAAACCTTTAGGAAGTTACCGCATTTCTTTGTGCTTTGAATACTCCGTCTGTAGAACGGGGATTATAATCGTGTAAAGATTAAGCGAATGATTACAGACTGAGTACTTATACTGCTACTGTAAACTATTAGTAAAATATGACTGTATTTTTTAAATATCATTGCTCTAAAGATTGGTATCACCAGAACTCGGCAAAATTTTCAGGTATCCAAGGTCCAGAAACCAGCAAAGTATTTTGTAAAGGATCCTTTACCGAGTAAGGGATTAGCTCACCCCTCTATAAACTGAAAACCCTTTGGTAATTCCTGAGGAATGGAAGAGCCCTAATGACTTTTTTTTTTTTTTTTAAAGGAAAAGGGGTACAAGAGGTTTCTACTGCTGGGCTAAGGCCCTGCTGGCTTCTGGTAGCTATAAAACCACGAACGTTAGGTAAGGATTAGAGAAGAAACCCAGAGTGGCTGCGAATCAAGATAAGACATCAGATAACAGCAATTATTTTACCATGATGTGACATGTAATCCTGATGTTCCTACCTGAAGATAAAGAGCACAATTTTAAAAATCTCTGCTCCTCCATTTCCAAAATCCAACAGCTGCTGGTCCCTTTACCACTTAAAAGTCATACTCTGCCCTCCAATTCGGCTGCGCAGCCCACATTAGAGAAACACCAGGCAAGGGACGGGGGAGGGGGTAATGGGGAAAACGCCCGGATGCTGAAAGACACCTAATGTTTCTTCTCTGTTCCTACTCACTACCTGCGCTAGTTTTAACTACTTAAGCCGGTGTCCAAAACACAGAAAAAACGTCTCAGTCCTGCCTTATCGCGTGCAGGTGCCAGGTGATCAGAAATCAATACCGGGGGAGGCTGGCTGTCCCTACACATTTCCCGGAGCCTAGAACGATGAGGCAAGAGGGCTGTTGCGCAGAGAACGTGACCTTGTTTTTCAGGCCCGGACTGTCTTGTGCTCCCCTACCCCCCTGTAATGCAAGAAAAGAACCGAATAGCTTCTGAACCTTTTCCTCCCAAGCCCAATGATATGACAGCCAAAGTCAACTTCATTAAAGGAGAACCAGCCAAGGCAGAAATCGACCGGGTTTGCGCAAACCTCACCGCACAGCACAGTGTCCCCGCGTTCTTAAAGGGAGCCAATCCACGGCCCTGATCTAACCACTCTCGCACACAGGGGCGCTATTTTGCGCACCTCAACCCACACAGGGTCTCAGTATTGCTGAGACCGTGTGGGTTGCTGAGTCACTGAAGATGGCAGCTCGGCCCCAAAAACACCGTCAGCCCTGAAGTGGGGTTCAGGCCCCAGGCATATGTGGTTTTAAAAGCTCCGCAGTCTGGACGTCCATTGGCTCGGGCACTGAAGGGCGTTCAGGATTAACTAATTATCGGCACCTCCCTTCCCCAGAGTCGCCTGGGCGCCCCAGGGAAGCCATCTCGACTCCCAGCCCCCGCCCCCGCGGGCCCTTCCCCTCCCATCCCCCCGCTCCTCTACACTCACGGGGACCCTGTCCGGATATTTCTTCCGGATCTTTTCTCCTTCCTTTTTCCGATACTCAAAGGGATGGTCCTCCTTGTACTGGAACTTCATGATGCACCGCAGGGCTTCCGAGATTCCCCGCGCGGGGCCTGCCTCCTTCGCCGCTGGCCCTGTCCAGCTCCCTCCGCCGACGTCAAGGTGTGCTCAAATAGCTACAGAAACGTCCGCTCCCGGGGCAACACCGCTGGGCCGAGCGTGCAGAGGGAGTTCGGTGTGGGGGGGATCTCGGGTGAGCCTGCCCGGAGATAGAGGAGAGCCAGGTGGAGAAATACCGGCGGCTTTTCGCTGGAGCTGGGAGCACAAAAACAGTTGGGTGGCGCGTCGGGCTGTGACGTCACCCTGCGCGCCCCGCCCCGTCCCCCAGGCGCCGAGGGCAGGGGGCGGCCGAGTGCTGTCTTAACTGCGTTTCCTTTCTGGCTAACGTTTTTCAAAATCGATGTCATTGCAAACATCAAAACATTCTAGTTGTGTTTTATTTTGTGACTGTGAAAGACGGTTTTAAGACAAAAACAATTTTAAACATGTTTTATTCCCCCTCCACTGTTTTTCTTGGTTTGGCCCCAAAACAAATACAAAAGGCGAAAATCCTTTTCCTGCTGGTTGGGATCCAGCCTCAGGGGAAAAGAGGCCCAGGCCTCCTGGGATCCCTTTGGCCAATGCAGAGCTGTCCCGTGCTTGCACCGTGCCCTCTGCGCTTTCCGCTGCCCCTCCCGCGGCCCTCCTCCCGCGCTGGCGTCACAGTGTTTGGGCCGCGCCGCAGTTCGCTCCTGAACAGCAACATAAACAGAGCGTGACTCAGGAATCTGAAGAGAGGAGTCAGATGAAGGACGCGGAGTGTAATCAAGGTCCAAAGGAGACGTGATGTCAGTCAGGACTACGGAGGGCTTCACGTACAATCAAATACAGAAATGATTCACTTTCTAGCCGGACGCGGTGGCTCATGCCTGTAATCCCAGCACTTTGGGAGGCCGAGGCAGGGGGATCACCTGAAGTTAGGAGTTCGAGACCAGCCTGACCAACATGGAGAAACCCCGTCTCTACTAAAAATACAAAATTAGCTGGGCGTGGTGGCCCATGCCTGTAATCACAGCTACTCTGGAGGCTGAGGCAGGAGAATCGCTCTAACCCGGGAAGCGGAGGTTGCGGTGAGCCAAGATCGTGGCATCGCACTACAGCCTGGGCGACAAGAGCGAAACACCGTCTTAAAGAAAAAGAAAAGAAAGAAAGAAGTGATTCACTTTCTGCCATTAACTCAGAAAGGAGGCTTGTCTTCTGGAAAAGAGAGTATCAAGCAATTTAGGTGATGACCTCAATTCTTCCCCCACATCTTATTTAGTTCCAGTGGTTAGGTATCCCTCACGTGGCTGGAAAGCGCTGCCTGGAATGCCAGTGGAAGATTGGGCATTGCGGCAGGTGCGGCGAAGCCTCGTTCTCGCTTTCCCCACCTAGAGTCAAAGAATAAAGACCTTCCAACCAGTACGGTAGGCAGCGACACGGAGGACCGTGGAGATTGCAAAGAAAAAGAAGAGTGAAAACGGGCTGCGTTGCCCATACAAGCCGGGTGAGTTCTGAGAAATATTAGACAACAGCAGCCCCATGGCCTATCTTCTTCAGTCGGGGTCTCAGTGTCTCTAATTTTAAAAACACCCACAAGGGGACAGGCGCGGTGGCTCACGTCTGTTCTCCCAGCACCTTGGGAGGCCCCGGCCGAGGATCGCTTGAGTTAAGGAGTTCAAGACCAGCTTGGGTAACAGGGCAAAACCCTGTCTCTACAAAAAATACAAAAATTAACCAGTCATGGTGGTGCGCTCCTATAGTCTCAGCTACTGTGGAGGCTGAGGCAGGAGAATCGCTTGAACCCCGGAGGCAGTGGCTGCAGTGAGCTGAGATCGCCCACTGCACTCCAGCCTGGGAGACAGAGCGAGACTCTGTCTCAAAAAGAGTAAGTAAGTAAAAATAGGCCAGACGCGTTGACTCAGTCTGTAATCCCAGCACTTTGGGAGGCCGAGGTTGATGGATCACGAGGTCAAGAGATAGAGACCATCCTGGCCAACATGGTGAAACCCCGTCTCTACTAATAATACAAAAAAAAAAAAAAAAAGAAAAGAAAAAGGAAAGAAAATTAGCTGAGCGTGGCGGCGCATGCCTGTAGTCCCAGCTACTCCGGAGGCTGAGGCAGGAGAATCGCTTGAACCCGGGAGGGAGAATCAGGGAGGGTTTAGCTATATTTGCATCAAAACTAAAATGAGGCCAGGCGGGGTGGCTCAAGCCTGCAATCCCAGCACTTTGGGAGGCCGAGGTGGGTGGATCACAAAGTCAGGAGATCGACATCATCCTGGCTAACACAGTGAAACCCCGTCTCTACTAAAAAATACAAAAAAATTAGCCAGACGTGGTGGCGGGCGCCTGTAGTCCCAGCTATTGGGGAGGCTGAGGCAGGAGAATGGTGTGAACTCAGGAGGCGGAGCTTGCAGTGAGTCAAGATCGCGCTACTGCACTCCATCCTGGGCGACAGAGCGAGACTCCATCTCAGAAAAAAAACAAAACAAACAAAAAACCTAAAATGAGCAACTGAAAATTAAACTATTTTCAATTTGAAAATAAGACCTAAAAATTATAAACATATAATGTGATACAATAACTCATGGATTTTCTTTATCTATTTTATTTATTTGTTTGATACAGAGTTTCTCTCTTGTCCCCCAGGCTGGAGTGCCATGGCTCCATCTAGGCTCTCTGCAACCTCCATCTCCCGGGTTCAAGCAATTTTCTCCTGCCTCATCCTCCTGAGTAGCTGGGATTACAAGGCGCCCGCCATCACGCCCAGCTAATTTTTTTGTATTTTTAGTACAGACGGGCTTTCGCCATGCTAGCCAGGCTGGTCTCGAACTCCTGACCTCAGGTGATTCGCCCATCTCGGCATCCTAAAGTGCTAGGGTTACAGGCGCGAGCCAACGCGCCCTGCCCTCATGGATTTTCATACATAAAGACTGAAAGATGCCATGGAGAAAAATAACATGAAGAAGTGGGACTATATGATTCATTTTCTTGTGCCAGTAATGAAACTTAGTTGCTTTTATTTTGTGGGTGTGTTTTTACATTTTTATTTATTTATTTTTGAGACAGAATCTCGCTCTGTTGCCAGGCTGGAGTGCAGTGGCATGATCTCCGCGGACTGAAACCTCCTCCTCACGGATTCAAGCGATTCTCCTGCCTCAGCCTCCCAAACAGTTGGGACTACAGGCGCACACCACCACCCCAGGCTAATCTTTGTATTTTTAGGTGGAGATGGGGGTTTCACCATGTTGGCCAGGTTGGTCTTGAACTCCTGACCTCAAGTGATCCACCCTCCTCAGCCTCCCAAAGTGCTGGGATTACAGGTGTAATCCAGCCTAAAGAAGTAAATTTTAAATTAACACAATCAAGTAAAATATTTCAAAATGTCTTATTTAACCAAAACCAAAATACTACATTAAAAAGCTCACATTTTCTCAAATATCTTTTCAACGTTTCTTGCACTTTTTTAAATGATTTCAAGGGTTAGAAGTTTTTTCAGTCTTTTATGAACATTTTTAAACATGTAGAGAGTTTTGAAAAATAGTATGATAAACACCAATATAGCCTTCACCTAGATTTTTTTCCATTTGAAAGTAAATTAGAGGCCAGGCATGGTGGCTCACGCCTGTAATCCCAGTACTTTGGGAGGCCAAGGCGGGCGGATCACGAGGTCAAGAGATCAAGACCATCCTGGCTAACGCTGTGAAACTCCTTCTCTATTAAAAATACAAAAAATTAGCCGGGTGTGGCCGTGGGTGCCTGTTGTCCCAGCTACTGAGGAAGCTGAGGCAAGATAATCGCTTGAACCCGGGAGGCGGAGCTTGCAGTGAGTCGAGATTGTGCCACTGCACTCTAGCCTGGGTGACAGAGCGAGACTCCGTCTCAAAAAAAAAGTAAATTAGAAACATAACACCACCACAATATACAAATTATATCCCCCCTGAGAATAAGAACATGTTCCTCCATAACCACAATGGTTATTACACCTTAAAAACCACTAATATTTTCCATTATCTAATACAGAGCTTATATTTATATTTCCTCAATTGCCCCAAACATGCTTTTTATCTCCCCCAATCAAGCATTTGAATCTGAAAACAGGTGGAATTTACCATAAAGATAGGTCTGATTTGATTTAGGGTCTCTGTGTGTGTGTGTGTGTGTGTGTGTGTGTGTATGTGTGTGTGTGGACATGGGGTTTCACTGTTTTGCCCTTTGGCTAATTGCAACCTCCACCTCCTAGGTTCAAGTGATTCTCCTGCCTCAGCCTCCCAAGCAGCTGGGATTGCAGACATGTGCCACCACACCAGCTAATTTTGTATTTTTAGTAGACATGAAGTTTCGCCATGTTGGTCAGGCTGGTCTCGAACCCCCGACCTCAGGTGATCCACCCGCCTCGGCCTCCCAAAGTGCTGGGATTCCACTTTTGGGAGGCGCCACTGCACCAGGCCCAGGGTCTCTTATATTATCACTTTTAAATTGATATATGAAACCAGAATTTTAGTGCATTGGTCTCCAATGAGAAATACAATAGCTAGAGGTTTAGTTATTCACAGCCATTTTCAAAATTTGCTTGCTAAACTTGGAATTTAAATAAGGAATTTTATTACTTAATTTGAATTTTTTAGTAAGCTGCCATCCACAAATCAAGTGTCAAACACCACCAGGATGTGCCTGGCTGACTCCAAGACTAGGAAAATATTTCCTGCCCCTGAACTATACATGAGTGGATCTTCCTCCTTAATAATTGTGTGCTCACATTGCTTCATTGCAGCTGCCACTACCTTAGTTTAATCTTCATTTTTTAAACATTTTGGCTTAGCTCTGATTATCTGTTACTATATAGCAAACCACCTCAAAAGAATGGCTTAAAATAATAGCATCATCTATTTTGCTCACAAATCTGAAGTAATGGGGCTCAGCTTTGGTTTTAGTTAGTGACTGGTGATAGCGTCTTCTTGGAAAGCTTCTTCACTAGCAGTTTTGGTAGTTGGACTGGGAAGACTCAAACAATTGGCGTTCCTCAGCCGCCTCTTTCTCTGTAGGATCTCACCATGGGTCTCTTCCCATAGTGTCTGCAAGCTAGCTAGACTTCTTTCATGGTGCCTAGGGGCTCTCTGGGCAAATTTGCCAAAAGAAGTCAGCAGAAAGCACATGGCCTCTTGTAATCTAGTCATTTTAGTTTCAAAGGGACACTTCTGCCTCATTCTATTTCTCAAGGCAGTCACAAAGTTCTGCTCAGATTCAAAGGAAGGTGCTACAGACTCCACTTCTACCTGGAGGAAGTATTGGAGAATCTGAGAATATGCTTCAAAATCACCACTATTGGGCCAGGCGTGGTGGCTCACGCCTGTAACCCCAGCACTTTGAGAGGCCAAGGCCAGCAGATCACCTGAGGTCAGGAGTTCGAGACCAGCCTGACCAACGCGGAGAAACCCCATCTCTACTAAAAATACAAAATTAGTCAGGCGTGGTGGCACACACCTGTCATCCAAGCTACTTGGGAGGCTGAGGCAGGAGAATCACTTGAACCTGGGAGTCAGAGGCTGTAGTCAGCCAAGATCGCAGCATTGCGTTCCAGCCTGGGCAACAAGAGCGAAACTCCATCTCAAAAAAAAAAAAAAAGAAAGAAAAAACAGCACTATTACTCAAACACATTAGTAAATAGTGTTCAGTCCTGTCCTTCCCACTTCTAGGAAAAAGAGAGCTCATTGATGCCAGACTAAATGTAATAAAACTATATTTCATTGTGTCATTTCTCTTGTTGATATCATTCAGTGGTCAGCGTTCTCTGCAATCTTTGGGAGATAGTTCAAATTCTTTACAAGGGAAATAGAGTACTCACAATCAGGCTATTGTTTCTCTCTTGAGCCTCATATATAGCCATTTCCTATTATTGCACTCTATGTTTCAGGCATACTAAATTATTTTCCCTGTATTGCTATTGTTTCAGACCACTGGATATTCAAAGCCTCCTTCCTGTGAAAATATTTTCTTCCTTTTTTTTTCTGATTAGTTTCTATAAAACGTTCAGGGTTTAGTTCAGACATCGTCTTCTCTAGGATACTTTTGATCTTCTTTACCTGAGTTCTGAATTCCTTCTAGGCACTTGCAAAGCATTGTGTGCTTATCTTTGTCATAGCACGTATAATGATGCATTGTTCATTAGATAACGTGATGCCAGCTGGGTGTGGTGGCTCACACCTGTAATCTCCCAACACTTTAGGAGGCTGAGGTGGGCAGATCACCTGAGGTCAGGAGTTCGAGACCAGTCTAGCTAATATGGTGAAACCTTGTTTCTACTGAAAATACAAAAAGTTAGCCAGGCGTGGTGGCTCGCACCTATAATCCCAGCTACTCGAGACGCTGAGATAGGAGAATCGCTTGAACTGGGAGGTGGAGGTTGCAGTGAGCTGAGATCGTGCCATTGAACTCCAGCTTGGGCAACAAGAGCAAAACTGTGTCTCAAACAAACAAACAAACAAACAAAAAACATGACGCCCATGACATCTCCTTGTTTTTTTTTTTTTGGCGGGGGGTGGGATGTATGTATGGTTTCAGAGGTAACTACTCTTTTTACATTGACACCACATGGTTCTAGTGGAACCCACCAATCATAAAATCTCACTGCCTTGACCATAAGATTAATCCGAATTTTTCCTTAGAATTTCTTGCATATGAACTAAAGAAGCCCCTTCTTCTTTGATGATGAAGTTTAGATAATATCTTAGTCCATTCCAGCTGCTATAACAAAATACACAGACTGGGTGGTTTATGAACAACAGAGATTCATTTCTCACAGTTCAGGAGACTGGAAAGTCCAAGATCAAGGTGCCAGCTGATTAACTGGTACGGGCCCGCTTCCTCATAGACAGCTGTCTTCTCACTCCAACCTCACATAGCAGAAGGAAAGAAAGAGGGTTCTGCCTCAGGCCTCTTTTATAACGGCACTAATCCATTTATGAGGGTTCCAGTCTCATGACTTAATCACCTACCAAAGGCCTCACCTCCTAATAATATCATCGTATGGGTTAGGATTTCCATGTACAAATTTGGAGATGATACACACATTCAGACCATAGTGGATGATACGAGATCAGGGGCTGCTATTGTTTTGGTCTCAAGCAGTCACCAGATAAATGAGATAGATAAAGATAACACTCAGAGAGGCAAGGTATATGACAGGGATAGAGAGAGATAGAGATACATACAGAGTTTGGGGGAGTTCTAATGGCATCCAGGTTCCTAGTTTCAGATAGTCTCTTCCAGTAGCGAGAGAGAGATAGTTTTTCTTATTTTCTGTATATTATGGTGTTTGACATTTAAAAAAAAAAAAAAATCTGGCTGGGGAGAGACTGTCTTTACCAGAGCTAACCAGTTCGTAGAGATAGCAAGGGCTCAGCTGAGAACATGCCTTTGATATACAAACTCACCAATCTAGAGCTATACCTCCTATATCCAACCTGTATATTCCAGGAGGCAACATTTCTCTGCCTTAATCATAGGAGGACCAGTTACCAGGCAACCAGGGACAACCTTTGTGGTTTAGAGCCCATAGAAGTATTTCAAACTAAATTGTTTACCCGTCCCTTTCCTGTTTTTCCTGTGGCAACCCCATTGAACGCTTTGACCTAAACCTTACCCTCGCTCCTGTCTTCTTTCCCCTGACCTCCCTGGTGTCTTTCTGATGTGTGACCTGTATGGCATGCTGTGACTGCTGTCTCTGCAACTTGTGAGTAAGCTTTGTTACTCACAAGTAAACAAAAATTACTTGTCAGAAAATGTTTTCCTGAGTCTCCTCTGTCTCCTTTTGTGTCCTCCCTGACTGACTACCTCATAAAAGAATGCAAAAACAGCATATATTGTTTTTATGTTGTCAGGGCCTTGGATAACTCATGACACAAAGACTCAAAATACGCAATATATAGCATCATGAAAGGAGCAAAGGATAGACTTCTAATTTAAGACGGTGGAATGAAAAGGTATTTTTGGCTTTGCTGTCTCCTGAGGCGGCGCTAAAACAACTGTGTAATAGGTTGAATTGTGTCGTCCAAAAAGATGTTGAAGCTTTAACTTCCATTATCAGTGACTGCGTCCTCATTTGGAAACAAGGTATTTACAGATAATTAAATTAAGATTAGATCTTTCGAGTGGATTGTAGTCAATATGACTGGTGTTCTTATAAAAGGGGGGAAATTTGGACACAAAAACAGGCATGAATAAAGGAAAGAGGATGTGAAGACACAGGAAGAACGTCATCCACAACCCAAAGAACACCTGAGGATACTAGAAGCTGGGAGACAGGCATGGAACAGATTCTTCCTCCCAGTCCTCAGAAGAACCTCACTCTGCTGACACTTTAATATCAGCCTTTCAGCCTCTGGAACAGTGAGACAATACATTTCTGTTGTTTGAGCCATCTAGTTTGTGGTGCTATGTTACAGCAGCTCTAGGAAATAAAGATAGACTGTAAAGAAAAAAAGAAGTAAAAAACTCACAAAATCAGGCCAGGTGCGGTGGCTCATGCCTGTACTCCTGGCACTCTGAGAGGCTGAGGCTGGCAGATCACCTGAGGTCAGAAGTTCAAGACCAGCCTGGCCAACATAGTGAAACGCCACCTCTACTAAAAATACGAAAATTACCCAGGCATGGTGGCGTGTGCTTGTAGTCCCAGCTATTAGGGAGGCTGAGGCAGGAGAATTGCTTGAACCCAGGAGGCAGAGGTTGCAGTGAGCTGAGATCACGCCACTGCACTCCAACCTGGGTGACAGAGTGAGACTCCATTTCAAAACAAACTACCTCACTACATCAGAGAAAAGGGGGAAGTAGGAATCAATTTTAAACTCTAGAAAGAAGGCTAACAAATGATAAATAACTTACAAAGTAGACTTAAGGAACGGAATCTGAAGTTGGCAGTAAAAAAAGTCTAAAGTAGCCTACTCATTAGATGATTTAGAAAGGCACAGGCATTTTTACTACCAAGTTATCTCCTTAGTCCTATATAGCCATGTAATTTCTTCTCTCCCATCCCCGTATAGTCTTGAGATTTATTCTTTATAGAGAAGAAAAAAAGAGTCTATGAATTGGAAAAGCTAGAGGAAAAGGGCTCCGTAGAAGACAGCGTACTGAAAACAGGAATATTAAGTGAGAACTTCCATACTGACTCCTAAATCCCCAACCTTCTTCCTTCGAGTCTGTTCCAGTTACTCAACCCAGCCGACAACCTGCCCAGTAGAAGACCATGGTTGGATGCATGTAGAATTCTACAAGGTTGTTTGCATGCATGTAGAGTTTCTTTCTTTCTTTCTTTCTTTCTTTTTTTTTTTTGAGACAGAGTATCGCTCTGTTGCCCAGGCTGGAGTGCAGTGGCGCGATCTCGGCTCACTGCAACCTCTGCCTCCCCGGTTCAAGCGATTCTTGTGCCCCAGCCTCCCGAGTAGCTGGGATTACAGGAGCTCACCACCACACCGAGCTAATTTTTGTATTTTTAGTAGAGACAGGGTCTCACCATGTTGACCAGGGTGGTCTCCAACTCCTGACCTCAAGTGATCTGCCTGCCTCGGCCTCCCAAAGTGCTGGGATTACAGGCGTGAGCCACCGCACCGGGCTGTGCATGCAGAATTTCAAATGAGCTTTTGTAGCATCCTGCTTTCAAATATAAGAAGACAGCAAGTAGTCAAAAATCTCCAGGGATTTGAAGGAAAGGTCCAATATGACTCAGTAAGAGAAAAACAATTTGAAGAAAATTAAAGATTACTCAGGGAGATAGAAACACCAAAAAATTGTATCATTAACATCCTCGGAAAAAGAAGAGGAAAGATTGCTTCCATGAAACAAAAACAGCTGCAGCCAAATAACATTTAGAGAAAAAAAATCTTAAAAATTGAAAGTATGAGAAGAAAAAATTCAGGAGAAATATTAGAAGAAAGTTAAAGGAAATGTCCTAGAAAGTAAAGCAGTAAGGCCAAAGAAAAAAAAAGAAAAGGGGGCAGGGAAGGTAAATTAGAAGTCCCACATTCAAATACGAGGAATCACAGAGAAGCAACAGGGGAGGGAGGTCAGATTTGTTTAAAGAGGTGAAATGTTAGAAATTCGCCATTCAAATAATAGGAGTCTCAGAGAGATGACAGAAGAGGAGTTCAGCTTTTATTTAAAGACCTATGCCTTTAATTTTTAAGGGAAATTATTTTCTTCCGAGAATTTTATAACAAGCTATAGTATTGTTTAAGTGTGGGGGAAGCTCAAGACATTCTTAGACATGGAAACTTTCCCAAAATTCACCTTTTTTTTGAGACTGGGTCTCGCTCTGTTGCCCAGGCTGGAGAGCAATGGCACGATTTTGGCTCACTGCAACCTCCACCTCCTGAGTTCAAGCAATTCTCCTGCCTCAGCCTCCCAAGTAGCAGGAATTACAGGCATGTGCCACCACACTGGCTAATTTTTTTGTATTTTTAATAGAGACGGGGTTTCACCATGTTGGCCAGGTTGGTTTCAAACTCCTGACCTCAGGTGATCCACCCACCTCTGCCTCCCAAAGTGTTAGGATTACAGGCGTGAGCCACCTTGCCCAGTCCCCAAAATTTACTTTTAATGTTCTTGTTTTCAGTAAGAACCCCCACAATGAGAAAATAAACCAAGAAAGAAAAGGATGTGGGATTAAGGAAGCATAATTTTCCTTTTAGAAAGAGATGATGAGAGATGAAAGATAATCTATAAGATAATGAAAGTGATTAATACATATTAGTATATTAATGTGCATGTTTTAAATATGTTATTATATATGAATATATATATCAACTCCCATAGTCCTCATATAATATAATGTAGGTGTACTCATTTTTCATCATTTTACAGTTGAGGAAATTGAAGCTAGAAAGATTAGGTGACTACAGCAAGATTGGACAGGGAGTAAAGAGCAGAGCTACAATTTTTACCCTTAAAGCCCAGTATCAGGCTCTTAACCATTAATGCTCCCTTTCTTGTTTCTAATTATACTGATCTAATCAAAATTAAGATATCATCATATTTGGATGATAGGAGGGCGTGAGAAATATTCAGATGTGTGATGCTAGCAAAGGTGGAGGTGGTGGTAAAAAAAGAGCCTCATTTTCATCTTTTATAATGGCAAGTCAATAGATGGTTTCCAAACCAAAAATAAAAATCAAGAATAGCAACATATGTATAGTATTTGAAGAACTGTAGGCCTAAAAATACCAGCTAAAAAGTAGGGAGTAGAAAATATGTGTGTGGTGGGAAGGTGCTATTTTTCTTCACAAGCCTTGCGGGGCTGTTTGAATTTTCAATCTGTAAGGATACATAGATTTAATTTAAAAAAATAAAACATAAATTAAAAAATAAAAGGATCTAGGCACAGTGGCTCATGCCTGTAATCCCAGCATTTTGGGAGGCTGAGGCAGGCAGATCACCTGAGGTCAGGAGTTTTTTTTTTGTTTTTTTTTTTTTGAGATACATTTTTGCTCTTTTTGCCCAGGCTGGAGTGCAGTGGTGCAATCTCAGCTCATTGCAACTTCCACCTCCCAGATTCAAGTGATTCTCCTGCCTCAGCCTCCCAAGTAGCTGGGATTACAGGCGAGCAAGTAGCTGGAATTACAGGCAAGCGCCTCCACGCCTGGCTAATTTTATATTTTTAGTAGAGATGGGAGTTTCACCATGTTGGCCAGGCTGGTCTTGAACGCCTGACCTCAGGTGATCCACCCGCCTTGGCCTCCCAAAGTGCTAGGATTACAGATGTGAGCCACCATACCCATCCTCTTAATCAACTTTTGTTCTCACTGAATTGGATTTGCATTTATCAACTTAGGTATTTACTGAGTTTGAAGTTACAACTCTTTGGGAGAGAGAGGATAGTACTCAACTTTATCATTTATGGTAATTAGTATTAATATTGGAGGGGAGAGCAGGTCCTAACTATAGTGTAAGAGAAGAGCACACAAGAGAGATCCTGTATAGGCAAGTTTGATACACAAAGTCGGAATTAAAGAAAAGTCTAGATACTTGTAGCACTGGTATCATTTATCAAACAGGAATAGCAAGAACCAAAGGGTAACAGAAACAATTTAAGGTTTGGTACTCGGAGGCTGAGAGAGAAGAGGCGTTAACTGAGTCTGCCTTATTTCATAACTTTGTCCATAAGTAAGATTTTATCATAGAAATTAAAGAGATTGCCTTTAGGGTAGCTCCTTAGCCGTAATGGTCACCCTGTCTCCTGTATTTTACTTCTCTTTTTCATTTTTTAGTGACAACCAAAGCATCTTAAAAGTTACATTATCCCTTTTTCCTCTTCAAGAACTTGTGATGGCTTTCATCGACTGCAGGATAAAGTCCAAACTGCTCAAGCTCACATTTAATGCCTTCCATAAAAAGAAACCAACCTGTCTTCCAGATTAATTCCTGTCACATCACTCCTGGAATTTTCACCAGTCTCCATGATTCACATTGTAATTTTTTATATCTTATAAACAGAAAATGCCATTATACCATGTAATTAATGTTTAAAATTCAAATATCCTTTAAATTTCAACACTGTTTACTTTTTTTTTTTTGAGACGGAGTCTTGTTCTGTCGCCCAGGCTGGAGTACAGTGGCGTGATCTCGGCTCACTGCAACCTCCGCCTCCCGGGTTCAAGCGATTCTCCTGCCTCAGCCTCCCGAGTAGCCGGTACTACAGGCACATGCTACTAGGCCCAGCTAGTTTTTGTATTTTTAGTAGAGATGGGGTTTCACCATCTTGGCCAGGATGGTCTCGATCTCCTGACCTTGTGATCCTCCTGCCTCAGCCTCCCAAAGTGCTGGGATTACAGGCATGAGCCACCACGCCCGGCCCTACACTGCTTACTTTCATAGTACCCTTCCCAGACTTCTAAAGTTGTGAGGCACCCTGGGGCGGGAAATAGCACAATTCTGGGTTAACCAAGGTGGAGATGCCAGTGGAAGGACATTGGCCACCACTACTCAGTGACAGCATGTCACATATTTTCCACAGTTGAACTCTCCATGTATCTTAGACAATCCATAAATCACTGAAATCATTTTCCCAGTTGGCTTGCTCAAGGGCAGATATCCTGCCCTGACCTCTTTGTTACCTTCCAGCCAAGCTACTTTACCCAAGGAAAAGAAAACAAAACCTACCTTCCCCAGAGTTTGCCATTTCAATCTCCTGCCACTTAAATTTGTTAAACAATTCCTGTTTCTGCTTTATTTCCATACTCTCATATGCAAGTAAATGCAAGTAAATGCTAATTAACTGATAAAGACTGATAAAGATCGCAAAGCTGGGCCGGCACGGTGGCTCACTCCTATAATCCCAGCACTTTGGGAGGCCGAGGCAGGCAGATTACCTGAGGTCGGGAGTTTGAGACCAGCCTGACCAACGTGGAGAAACCCCATCTCTACTA